ATTTGGAGTATTGAATTTCTACAGATATCCATTGACAGCATCTTCGAAAGTCCCAAGAGGAAGTAATTTTGGAAAACCCCACACGCTTCAACGCATATAAGTTTCTCATTGTCCTGTTGATATCTAAAATAACAGATCAAGATTATTGAATAGCAACACTTCAACTCACTTCCTCTGTATATATGTACAAATCCAAATTGCACGAATTATTGAGTAGCGAACCTCTCTCTTTTACCAAAAAACTCACGAGAACAGAAACAGCCTCAACAGCTCCTATGCTCTCACAGTCACTTGTAGCAGCTCCTATTCAACAGTTAATACTTACATCCATTAAAAAACTTGCCGAATCTCCCAGTCATGACTCCAGCCCTTCAAACTATGCTTATTACAACGATCCCCATGAAACTTCTGCTTTGGTACCTCAAGATTCAATCCCTAACAACACTTCTCGGACACTTACTGTAGCAAACAATGTTTTGGAATAATGGGAGATAAAAGTGGCCTGTGTTGGACCATTTTTTCAAATTCAAATTTTTACAATATTTCCTAAACTTATCTTATATCCCATGTTTGGTACACATTTTTTCAAAATATTCTTTCAAAACTCATTCTCAACCATACATTTTTCTATAAAATAATATTTTTATCACATCAATAATTTTTCCTTATTTTTTAACCACATATTTTCCATCATATCACTATTTAAAATACATTATTTCCTCAATAATATCCATCGAACACACTAGTAAAATTTTAGAATTTTTTAACATCATTTAGGCATTCATATGAACACTCAAAACACGTGGAAAAATTTGGTTTCGGGTGCACTTAACACAGCTTACAGAAAAAGGCACAACTTTTTCTACCAACCTTCAAATAACTTGATTCCAAAGCCAACTGACAAAGGACTCACAAGGCTTTCAAACCTTACTGTTCTCATCCAAAAACTCAAAATACTTTTGTTCGGAATGGCATGATAAAGCTCAAAACAGTAAGTTGAAATTTTATTCTTCACAAGTTTAAGGTTTAGTCTTAACTTATTTAGCAACTTAAATTAAATGCATATTTAAACAAATTAAATTGACAATGTTCACATTAAGAAAAAGAATTAGAAAGTCCTTCAAAAGTAAAGATAAACTAAGGGTGTCAATCGAGCGATTGGCTCGGCCGCTCAGCTGGTGAAAAAATGAGCTTGGGCTCATCAAATGACGAGCCTGAGCTGAGCGGGCTGGCTCGCCCGTGGCTAGCCAACGAGCTAGCCCACGAGCTCGGATCGTGGGCTCGTCTTTGTGAAGGGTTATTTTTTTTAAGAAAAAATGTATATTTAAAAAAACAAATAAATAAAAATTTAACGAGCTCGCGAGCCGACCCACGAGCCCACGAGCTCGGCTCGTGGGCATACGGGCCGAGCCGAGCCGAGCCATTGCCATCCCTAAGATAAACTATCTTTTAGAAATTAACACCTTGTTTGAGCCATATTATTCTCCCAAAAAAGCATTTTAAATAGTTTTTCGATGGAAAGTATGTTGTTAAAAAATAAGAAAAAGTTTTGAAATTTGCGTGTAATATTAATTTATTAAAGAATGTGTAGTTAAAAATAAGAGAGAGAGAAAAATGTATTTTAAATGAATGAGTATCAAACATGGTGTAAATATAAGTAGTAAGAATTAGAATTTCTTTAAACATGACTAATTACACAAATTGAGCACATTTCTCCATTCGAATCCTCTGCAATCCATGTGAATCCCACTTCCTTGACCATCATTTGATATGAAAATTGTCAATATAAAAGGTGTGCGCTTTAAGCTCAGTACGACTAATATTAGTGGGTGCACCATTTTGATAAAAAAACAAATAAACATATATACAAATTGATAGAAAAGAATTTAACATTTCACATATATGAATATCAACAAATTCATGATTTTTTTTTTTAGAATCTTTTAGGATCGTGGTAATTGGTCATGGCTATATTTAAACTTCTTTGTTCATAGTTTTAAGAATTCTAATAAACATCACAAGCATATATATACAATTAATCTTATTAAAGTGAGCCTTTAAGAGAGAATTTGAAGAGTTTTAAGCCCAAAATAATTCTCAAAAATAAGTTTTATATTAAGAAAAATCTACATGGTGAAAAATGAAAGAAAATTGTTAGATTTTAGTTGATTTTGTAATCGGAAAATTCTCAAAAATAAGTTTTATATTTAAAAAAATCTACATGGTGAAAAATGAAAGAAAATTGTTAGATTTTAGTTGATTTTGTAATTGGAAAATTCTGTGAACAAAATGACTTAAATTGTTAGAGTGTAAAAGTTTAAGGAATAATCTGCAATTTGTTTACAAGTTAGTTAAATAGGTTTAGGGTTTCGAGTTTATAATAATGAGGAAAACTGTGAGGATTTTTGCTAGACTGTCGCTAAGGGTTGACTCAAACTACAAAAACAGAAACTGTATTGCTAGACTTTTGCCCCTCCTTCGCTCGAGCGACAGCCTGTTGCTCTACTGTCGTTGAGCCCTCGCTCGAGCGACAGCTTTATACAGAAAATTTTATTTTTGCCTTTTAAAGGCTTTTTCTTGACCTATTGATTTCTTGACCTATCTATATATATACCAGAACACGCACAGAACATTTTTTTCAAGGTTGTTAATTGAGAGAGCTTCATCATTGAGAGATCTATACATTCCATCATTCAACCTTCATCTTGTGCGAGTGTTTTGGTCAGAAAAAAATCAAATTCAATATCCAAATACCAAAAACCAAACTTCCTATATATATGTCAGNTTACAAAGAAGAGCCGGGTTTGGTGTTCGTGTACACATTCCCGGAGGGCTACTTCTTACTTCAGACATGAGATCAGAAAGTTTGTATTGTCAACTTTGTTGGTGGTTTGTAAGTGTATTATCAGTTTATAGTGGAT